CATATGAATGGTTCCTTGATACCAGCAGCGTAAACAAGGATATTAGAGCCCCCCCTCCAACAAAGTCAGGTTTTGAGCCCCAAGCCGGATCTTACAAAGGGTACGTACTTGGCTTCATGCAGACTTTGGAACTCCCGCAATGCGGGGGTGTACGTTACGCCACTGTTTGATACCTTACTTATATCGTTTCATTTAAAAATTGGCTCCTTTCTCTTGAAAATTTCCTGATTCTTGTCCTACGCCAGCGTTTCTCAAACTGTGGGGGGCGATAACCCTACGAGGGGGGTGCGAACATATCGAAAATAAAAGATTAAAAAAATATTTAATGTACTGGAATGAATTAAAACAAAATACTTTCAGACATAATAAAACATGCCCTTTTATTCTGATATAATTTATGTATATCATCTGGTGATATTACGTCATCAAAAAATAAAAGCTTCTTCAATACCTAATTGCTATCTTAGATCCTATTACCAAATAAAAAAACTTTTATTTGATTTGTTGTAATTTCATGAGAGATTTGTTTTATTACGTTTTATTTTAAACCTAAAATACTACTCTTTCAGAGAAAAAACAGAGCCCAGACCCAGAATCGAAAAAATTTAGGAAGATAAAAAATTAATCACTATTATTATTTTTGAAATATTGTACATTATAGCTGTAGGCAGCAGAATAAATTTGCTGATCATCTGTTTGACCCCCTAAGTTATTGGTATAGTTAGTTATGACCCCTCTCTTATGTGTTTGTTTCTCATTTAGGGTAGTTGTAAATAATGTATTTTTGTGGGGGATTTCCCATGTAAAAGAGTTTTATGATATTTGCAAAACCACAGAGAGCACTTTGAAGGATTACTTGGCCAAGATTTATTTTTATGAGTATTCTCAAACATGTAAAGCATAATGAAAAACGTTTTACACAATTTTTTTAGCAGTAACATCCATATTATTATATTGAATACACTTTTAACCCGAAAGTGGTCGCGCGAGGCACACAGATCATTAAATCGTTAATTCTGCCAAAACTATTTATTTGTTACAAAAGAAAAATTGAAAAGTCCTTGAAAGTAGGTAAGTATACTTTATCTCAATTAAATTATTCACTGGAATCACGATTTGTATCGTGTACAATAAAAATAATTATAACAAAAAAAAAAGATTGGGGTGACTTAATTACCCCGCGTGTGACCATTAACGTTAGTATTGAGTGTGTACCTGCTCCCGGGATAAAACATTTTGAAGTCTTCTCGTTTTAAATATTAAAAATAACACACACACGCAATTATTCTTCTTCATAATTTTATATTATATATTTCACTATTTAACATTAATTCTAAATGATAATTCTGTGAGCTTAAAATTACAGTTCGCTTAAAACTAATTATAATACGAGCATTCATTTTTTTAAATATCATTTTACATTTTCGTAAACATTGTCGCGTATTTGGGTTTACTCTTCTGACAATTCAGCTGTTATATCAAGAATGTTTTAGTTTTTTAAAGAATGAACTCGTACGAAGACGGATACTTCAGACAGTACACTTTTAATGTATCAGTGCTGCACAAGGTATTTCATAACTAATTTATTAATACTAAATTAAGAGTAAGTTTAATAAGTATTAGCGACTTCCATGGGCTTGTCTTACAGAGGAAAGTTTTTCAAAGGAATGTTTACGAATAGAAAAATTGACACTCTTTTTCTATATTTGGCTGAGATCTATATTTTGTCTTCAAAGCAGTCACCGCATTTTGCAATTGTCCCAATTTAAAAATTCGAGAAAGAAAAATAAAATACATATTACTTTAAAGTAACATATAAAATTTTATATACTTATCTTATTAATTTGTACGGTTTATAATTAAGATAGTATAGAAGCTTTATCGTCAAAATGCGTTATGATTGCATTTAATACATAATTATTGTATAAGGGGGGGAGCGCGATAAAAATTATGATTGAAAAGTGGGTGGCCACTATTGAAAGTTTGAGAAGTACTGCCCTACACTCTTATTCATCAACTGTTCTTCGTTAAATCTTCGGCGTAACGTTAAAGAATAGGGCCCTGATTTGAAACATTTTTACGGATAAAAAATTATTCCAACTTTAATACTATATTCTGGCTTCACTATCCAATATACAGCAGGAAATTTCATCATACTATCATTTTTACCTGAGTTGGTCAATTTTTTCTGGTTCAAAAATGTGTTTCGTACTTTTTCTCTTGCTCCTTAATGTTAAATGAGATTTTCCTTTACATGTTAAAAGGTAAGATTAAATATTTATGAAATATTTCGAAATTTTAAAACCTCTATATTATGAACAGATATATGCATTGTAACGATCTAAGATTTTACGTAATTGGAGAAATTTTTCTGTTTGAAAAAGTGCTTCGCGCTTAGTACAGGCTCTCGTACATTTGGCGACAACATCCTCAAGTGGACAAAACCAAGCACAAAATAGAAAGTAGAAAATTCAAATTTTTGCGTGAATATATTCGAATTGACATTATGAAGAACTAAGATATGCTATATCCGTTCCATCTTTAAATATTATCCTTTTGAGGCCTTTCGTTCGAATGTTCAGATCTTGTCCGTCTAAAGCTTGTCATGCGGCGGTGAATCTGTCCATACTTGATTTGATGTTTTATGATTATGAAAAATAAGATGGTAACTCAGATGTCGATCTCGTCTGAACTAAAATTCAAAATTAAGAGACGCATTTGCTATATTTATATAGCGGAGTTCTAAGTCTGTCAGAAACAGGCAACCGAAAGCGTCAATAAGTAAATAAATAATTAAGAATGTTGGTGTGTGCAATATCTGTGAATATTTTCCGAATAATGTAAGTGAATAAATCTACAAAAATATCGCTATACGAGCTATTTCGAACATTCTAGAGATTTTCCTACATTTTTTTCTTCAAAGATTATAAAATTACAATTAATCCATTAACAATGCGAAGAAAGTACGAGAAGAAAATTTCTATAACTTGAGCACACATTCGATGTGTTAAATCATTCCCACGTGTTACAATATATTCGGCTTCATTTCCATATCATCTGCGCTGTTTCATATCAAAATTTCTGATCAAGACCATGAGAAGGATGATATTAAAAATGAAGGACAAGGTTAAAGTCTGGGAAGACGGATTGCATAGTAATTCTCTCTTTCCTGTTTTTATTAATTTCTTTATTTTTTTTCATAACAAGGTCAACCATGCTTGAAGTTCCGCGAGGCAAGGAAAGAACGGCAAAAACCGGCTGCGGAAATGTATAATTTATCAAATAGACATCACCTCACTTAACAAAAGTGAACGGAATTTACTTAAAAAATGATAGAAGTAACAACGAATAAAATATCTCTGCACTACGTGTCAAATAAGAATACGCGTCAGAATTTGGAGTGGTTCGACAAGTTATACGCCTAAATTTGTCTTTGTATTTTACAAACATTCTGTGAATAATTTGATGGGATTTATGGATCATGCCATGGGCGGGTTTCAGAATTCTTTGGCGAAAATCTTCGATCCATCATTAAAACGAATGTATTTTTATGCTAAGTACTTTAAATATTTTTCTTACAACTATATTTTATACATAACAGATTGATACTTTGTCTGAATGGCAATAAATATTTGCTTCGATACAACACAGTAAAAATTAAAATGCGATTTCGAAGAAATTCAGAGAATATTTTTTTTCCCTGAAATTCTCCTAGAATATCGTTACATTGGAAAAATTAAATAAATTCTTTTAAACATGGTTTTAAATATATTTAGCTGGATATTAACATGAAACCAGATGAAGAATTTTATAAATTTAAAGAATTTGTTATACAGAAATAATACTTTCCGGAAGTATTTACCATATTTCATTAGATTTTGTGTTGATATTTACGTTGTTGGATAATGATGTCATCATCAAACAACGTTATCTTTATGCGTGGAATAATTCTGAATAATAAAAAAAGAGCATGTGATTCTCTATTATTCCTCTCTCTACCTATTATCCCTTCGAATTTGGATTCAAAAAGGCACTCTGATAGAGACAGAATCCAATGCCTATCGATAGCTTAAAGTGCTTTGTGAATGAATTTATTCTAAAAAATTAGAACACAGTTTAATGAGATAAGGCAGGGGTGGACAAATAGCGGCCCGACTAAACAGTCAGGATATCCACTTTCAATTGAGATTTCTTTCCTGTGTGCGCTCAAAGATTCGTCTTGTATTGTTCACTATTAGGAAAACAGAATTCCATTATCCCTTTATTAAGAAAAAGATACCTGAAAATGTACCTATAAAGAGATCATCTGCTGAGTTTGGAGGACCAGATCACAAGATCTCAGGATTTTTTTTAAAAATTGAGCATAAATTCAATTTGCTTTGTTATCCCATTACTGCTGATATTGATACAGCACCCAAGCAGCTTGAACTTATTGACTTGCATTCAGATTATAGTGGGAAGGAAATGGTTTATGCTCGTACTATAACATTAATGGACTTTTACAAATCTTTGTTAGCTGAAAAATTTCTATACATGAAGAAATATGCTGGGAAATATATTTTTATATTTTAGTCGACATATATTTGAAAGCAAAGTTGATCTTGCATGATCAAGAAGAGTAAATACAGATGAAAATTGGCTGACATAAGCTTGCAGGTTGTGATTGGAATTTCAACAAGCAATCGCATACCTGATTAAAAAACAAGTAATATGAAAAAAATTAAGTCAATTCTTACTTAGGTCAACAAAGAAAAAAATTTTTAGTTTAGTTAATTTTTATTAAATAATTACAATTAATGTAAATATGTATATACATAGGACAGAATCACAATATTAAGTGGCAAAACAGAGAAAGGGATTTTCCTTGCAGTTTTCCATTTTCTTTTCCGTGTATGATGTTGGACAATTATTTTTCTCTGTTCCTATTTATTCATTAATTAAATTTAATTATTCCAATAAAATAGTATACTAAAAAGAAATCACATTCTCATAAATTAGGCCATTCCAGGTGGGATTTGAACTCATGAGCTTTGTATTAGAAGTCCAACACACTATCCGTTGCGCCACAGGAACACAACGAGCGATTTTCCTTTTTATATAGGGTGTTGGACTATTACTTTTGTTTGTTACTATTTATTCATTAATTAAGTAGAATTAATGAATTAATATTTGAAAAACTGTATTAGTACTGTATAGTGTCATTCACTATAAGTTTAAAAAACTATTTAAACTGTATTTGAACTTGAATGGATGAATAGACGGGGGTGCATTTGTCTCATTAAACTGATTCTAAAATTAAATGTGTTGGCAGGTATAGGCAATATGAAATGAGCACAGTAAATAAATTGAATAAAGCTGTCACTGTTTTCGTGAACTTATGCTTGTAATTTTTTAAAAATACTCACATTTTAAATATTTAATAACTACTTATCAAATTCAAAGTTTTTATAGCTTCTTCATTTATAAAAAGAATTGTGTGAAACTTTTTCCCCGTGTACCGAACATTTCAAAAAATGCTCACAATTTTAATTCAACATTTAATACACAGTTGGGAAATTTTGTAATTATAAAAATTTCTACTTTTTTCAACATACAACTATTTTTAAAAGGGTACATTTTCGTTTTCGGGGCCTAAATAATTGCAAAGTGAGTGAGTGAATATTCAAGTCCCACTGTTCACTTACTCGAGAGCTCTGATAGCGAAAAAGGGAAGAGGAATTTCCATGACAATATGTTATGCATTTAAAAATGTTCGTGCAACGCCGGGGAGAAATAAACCTATCTGACAAAGGAAACAAGCGAAAAGATTTCGAAACAGGGAATTTTAAGTCATACACTCGGTAAAAGCTTAAGCAACGCCGGGCTAAGCGGAGGAGAGGGGTGGGGGAGTCATTTTGAAAAAGAGAGTTAGAAGTGCTGATTTTGTGAAGGAAAGTGAAAATTTTTATAAAAGTTGAGAAAGCCCGTGCAACACGCCGGGCCATGCAGCTAGTACTTATTATTTTTTGTAATGAAGACAATCATTTTAAAAAACTACGACCCCCAGTATCTTCTGCTTCCGCAATGTTGCCCGAGAGCCAAAACAAGTTGTTCACCCCTGAGATAAGGGGATAATAAACTTAAAATTTTCAATAAAATAAATCTATATGGTTATAAGATCTTTTTTCCTCATCAAATGGTGAAAATGATGTTGCAAAAATTCATTTTATATGTTAAATACGATTCGCAGAAACTATTTTAACCTACATTAATGCAATCGATTTATCTATGATTAAAATCGGGTTATACAGTAGGGTGGGTCGAATTTTTTTATTTTTAGAATTTCCAAGTCTACCTATACCAGTTCTCTTTAAATTTTGTCGACTCATGGAATCACTTTAGAAGAATATATCTTAAAATAATATTTTAAGTAGATCAAGAATAGATCAATATAAAAGCAATTAAAAAAGTATTGCATTTATTATTTAAAAATTTTAATCTACTTTTAATATAATTTACTCATTGATAATATTAATCTGTGATCCAAGTGTCACACCTACCCAAGCATTATGTTTAATAACTGGGATATGTGCTTGTATTTCTTCACATAAACTGTTGAAGTATAGGTCTATTAAGAATAACTGCAATTGCATGAGATATTCTGAGTTTCATTTGTTTCTATGCTTTATTTTAGTAGCCATTCACGTTGAGAAATATTTTTCACTTACACACATTGTTCTGAATTGCATTAAAATGATTACGGTTGTATGAGAAATGCTGTGCATTTTGCATGAAAGAGAGAGAGAGAACTTACAACATAAAATTTAGGACATATCCTTGCTTAAATTAAAATTTTTAACATCGAATCTGAAGATATGTTGTAGGGGTTTTCCAACAAATATAAAAAGGTGTATTTTCCATTAGAAAACTATTTAGTTCTGCAAAACATTGTACTAACGAGTATAAAATTATTTCGTGGAACTCAGGATATTAAACAATCAAATATTCACAATCTAGTAAGTAACATGTGTGTGTGTGTGTGCAGGGGTAAGTAATGTTCGGGATCTTGATATTTCAAAGAAATAAGCAGATTAGAATGAAATTACTGTTTAATGAAACATTAGATTATTTACAATTAACACTTTACGAGTTATTTCACGGAGCATACTCTCAATTGTCGCTAAGCCTACTGACCTCCACGTTGACCGAAAAACGTGGCTTCTTGCCTGTAAAACCGGAGTCTCTTCTCTCGCGTCTGTCTCGTTCCGCGTCGCAATCGTTTTCTCCCTAAAACCCGTTATTCCAGGAGGGTACATATATTCGCTGGTAGCGCCATCTATTGGTGAGGTTGTAACCTCACTGATCGGAGAATATATTTAATTCTCAAAAACATTAAATCCTACAAACTCGGCCAATCCTGACAGTCGATGACCTCAGCGACGCTTGAGAATGCTCTCATGATTACATAACGTATTATATTACAAAATATAAGAAAAAGTACACAACATGCATAAAACATATAAAGTGAAGGGTATACTCTATAGTTATTAAAATTAAATGTATACATTTGTAAGTACTATTATATTAGTGAGAAAAATACTTCATTAAATCAGCGGAAGTAACAGTTACATTTGGCCCAGCGTGATCCCTTACTTTCTCAACTGTATATCTGTCTCAAGGTTTCACTTCCGTAATCTGATATAGTCTGAAAAATTTGGGTCTATGTTTAAGGTCTCCACCAAATTGTGTACGTTGGACCGCTACCAAATCACCAACTTGGTACTCGGGAGCCTTTTTCCTTTTCTTATTATAAGTTTTCTTGTTCTTCACAAGTACTATGGGACTAGCATACTCGGATGAACTTGGTCTGACTATTCCTTGTTCGAGCCATTCTTTAATGTGTTTGTTCACACTTTTCTTTTCCGCATACGACAACCGACGTGCTGGTTGATAGACTGGAATCTCATCGTTCAGTATTATCCTCCTTGTCACATCTGTGGATTCAATCTTCTCTGGTTTGTACGATGAAGTTATTCTGGTTAGATCATTTTTCACTTGTGAGTCAAGCATGTGACTGAAATCTAACTCATCTTCAGGATGTACTCCGGATATTTGCATTAGACATGCCTTTTCCTCATGCTTATGGAACATAACACCCTCTTGGGTGAAATTCAAAGAATTTTGTTCCAAAATGTCTGTAACTATAATGGCTTCAAAATTGAGCTGTTTGGTTGGCACAACATGCCACGTTAAAGAATATTGATCTTTGTTCAAGACAAAATTATACTCGAAGGAGACCTTGGATATTACTTCAGTTTGTCATAAACCGTACAACCCAGTGTTTATTTTGGATAGTCTTGAATGGTCAATAACCTTCGTGCTTACATCTTCTCGGATTAGACTAACTGTACTACCAGTATGTATAAGTGCCGATACAATTTCATTGCCTAACATAATGCTTTTTAAGTGTAGTCCTTTCTGCGGTGTGACAAAACAGCTTTGTACTTGGGGATTGGGTTGTTCTCTTTTGATCTCTTTCATTGCTTTAGGGCAATTAAAACTTAAATGATCTAAGGAATGACATATGTAACATCTCCTAGGTGCTCTTCTATCAAAATCTCTACTCGGAGGAGTGTCTAAATATCTTTTTTCAGGATTGAAATTTCCTGTTCTCCTTGTATTGTGATTATTAAATTTCCTGAAATTCTCCACTTGATTCGATCCTCTAACTTCAGGTCTTCGAACAGGCGTTAAAGTATATGTTTTCTGTTTAAACGTCCTACGGACATCCTCAAATTCTTCAAGTCTCTCGGCTAATTCAACTGGACAGTTCATACTTGGCTATTCGTCTAGGTGACGTTCTTTGAATTCAACAGGGGCTCTTTTCTTCATCTGGTCAGCTATCATCAGATCCCGTAGTTTGTCAAATGTTTTTACGTCCAATCCTTCAATCCATCCATTAAAGAATGTTTGAACTTATCGGTAGAAATCACGTCATGTTTTATCCAAACTTTTCTGATGTGTAACAAATAGCTGTCTGAACTTATCTGGGGTCAATTTAAACCTTTTCAAAAGCACAATCTCTCGCCTCTTGTTCAGGTTCTCTAGCGATCAACTGTGTAATTTCCTGTGGGAGTAGGCGTAACAGGTGTGAGACCTAAAACTCTTTCGGCACATTAATCATACATGTTTGGCGCTCAAACAATATTAAAAATAAGCTGATATCCTCTTTCATATCAAATTTAGGTAATAGTTTGTTCAATTCATGACTAGGTGTACGATTATTCCTACTCAATATTTCCTGATTTAATCCGATCTGAGCTTCGATTCTAAGTTTCTCTAACTCTAAATTATTCCGTCGTTTCCTTTCTTCTAATAATTCTCTCTCCTTTCTCTCTTCAACGATACCTTCGTACATCAATTTGGTGTCTTCCTCGTCGTACCCTGAACTTTTGGTTATTAAATTTTTTAACATTGGCTTAGTCATGTCGACTGTCGCCTCTAAAACTTACTCTGTAGCTAACTCTAACAAATCTTCCTTTTTCCCTTTTAACTAGAAAGACATGTTTTCCCCTTTTTAATTAAGGAGTTAAGAATTTATACAAGAATTATTGTACTGGAGAATAACAGGTATAGTACTAAATACTGTGAAAGGTATAGGATGTGCTAGCTCTGCTAAATTTTACCCACACTTCTACTAAATATATAAAAGTTATGCAAATAAAATTTTTCAATTAAAAATTTCCGAAACCAATGTAAAATTCAAATAATAATATATCATGCATCAATAATTTAAAACATATCAAGTAATAAGTTAAATTGGGATATATTGCCGCACGCATAAGTCCCGATACCAAGTCCCGATAGCCGAGTTGGCAGAGCGTTGGACTGAACTTCCTCAGGTCTCGGGTTCGAATCCCGGCCCCGGCAGATTTATCCAAAGACTGGAATTTTGTTCTCGTTTTTAATGTATTGTTTCTCTAGGTTCTAGATGAATCCAGATCATTCTTTAGAGTGCATACTGGGTATTTCTCGAATATTCCGAAGTGTATAAAAGCAGAGTTCATCGCCAGTTGGGCATGTTCTCAGTCCAG